AAACAAAAATGAAATGGCCCTCCTTTTTTGTATTATGGTCACCGCTAGTGAATGCATTCCTAATCAAAATAGGAAATATTTCTTACATTTGTCCACTACTTTATAGTTTCGAAAGTACTTCCACATACGTTAACCATCTGAGATGCACCTTCACTGTATGTACACAAAAGAGATGAAATGTCCTGGAGTGTGTTCTGTCTGATATCTGTGCAAGTCCTGTCTTAGTCTGATGACAAATTCACTCTTCTCTCTACATGTGGCCTCTGTTGAAGTGTGTTCATTACATAGAATATGAAATAGTAATTTCTGACTGGGGGGCTGTAAAAACTATAACGAAGTGCTCGCACTTCTTATTTTTCTTCACTTCCCATTTCTTCAGAAGAGTGAATATATTTTTTTAAAGAGCCTCTAGAAATCATTCTTGGCTTCTAAGCTCAGCTTCCAACGTGGAGACCAGTAACCACGCTGTTGTACTCAGTTTGATCACCCGACATGGACTTCAGCTTCTTCACGTGATAAATGAAGGGGTTTTAGTATATCTGCGGCCCCTCCCAGCGCTAACATCCTACAATGCCCTCTCAGAGAAGCTGAACTCAGAAGCAGGAATCTTTACTAGGCTCTGTGGGCTCATTTCTGCACATTCTCCAGCAGGGGGCACCCCTGGGATTTGGATGGGGCCCTTGACTGAGGCAGCTCTGTAGAAACGCTGGTAAAGGCAGAGATCCAATCCAGGCACCCAACCAGTGCCTTTAAAAGGTCACAGAGTATGACCCTGGAGAGCTTTCTGGCTGGTACTCTAACTAATGCATATTGTGACTAGTCATAAGTAGAAGCTTTAAGAGATTTTGTGACTGACGTTGCCCCACTTGGGGTGAAAGATCACGTTAACCAATATTTATAAAGTAATCGATCGGCCAGATTCATAATTGTTCCCCCATTTTCCCTCATCTGGATCCTGGACCACTCTCTCTCCCTCTAGGCCAGTGGATCCCAATCTTGACTGCCCCTTAAAATCACACAGAGAACCTTTAAAAATTACTGATGCCTAGATCCAATCCTAGAAATCTCTGTCAGTTTGCTCAGGTGGCCACAGCAAAGTACCACAGACTGGGGGCTGGAACAACAGAATTTCTATTTTCTCACAGTTCTGGAGGTTGGAAGTCCAAGGGCAAGGTGTTGGCTGGCTTTGGTTTCTTCTGAAGCCTCCCTCCTTGGCTTGCAGATGACCGCCTTCTCTCTGTGTCTCCCCACGGCCTTCCCTCTGTGTAAGTCTGTGTCCTCATCACCTCTCCTTGTAAGGACACCAACCATATTGGATTAGGACCCATCCTAATGACCTCATTTACCTTAATTACCTCTTTAGAGGCCCTTTCCCCAGAGACAGTCACATTCTGAGGTCCTGAGGGTTAGAACTTCTACATATGAATTTTGAGGGGATCCAATTCAGCCTAGAACACTCAGCAATGGTCACTAAATTGATCTAGGGTACAGCTTGGGCACTGTGATTTTTAAAATCTCCCCAGTGATTTCCAACTTACAGTCCAGGTCAAGAACCATGGCTCTAGGCTTTCTTGGAGTCCACTTCTGCTGGAGGAAGTTAAACCGGATAACACACTATTTCAGTGGTTTTCTCTACCATTGTATAAAATTAAGAGCCCAACTAAACACTGAAGCATTTAACCATCCTCTGAATGTTTATGCCTAAAATAAAACCTACTCCTCAAGACTTTCTCCTTATAATGAAAACGATGTACATAATTCAGGAGTTCTCTGGAGCCCTGTGGATAATATTCTCTCCATAGGTCTCATTTGCAAGATACCCTTTTACTTGAGAATATTAGAAATTATTTGAAATTACCAATATTTTACTGGATTTCTTTGACTTTCAAAAATGACACTTTCCTATGAATCAACATAATAGTAATTATTATTCCTCGTATGGGTCCAAATAAAATAATATACGTGCTTTACAGTTTTGGAACAACCCTGCAAGTCACAGAGGGATCATTGTTTTAAATTTGCAAAGGTGAACACGGAGGCTCCGAGAGGAAAAGTGACTTTCCCAAGGCGATGAAGTAGCAGATTGGGGACTGCAACCCAGGTCTTCCCAGGGCCCATTAGTGAGTTGCCTTATCTTGAAAGGACAAGGCTGAGGCCAAAAGTACATGGGAAAGCTAAGGGCTAAGCAGAGTTGGTTTCGCTGATAAACTCAGGCTGACCCTTCTCCAAGCCTGGGGAAAAGAGAGGAACTAAGAAGGACTTAGGAGAGCTTTACATTCAAAACTTTAAACCTGACATTTGAAATCCACAACTGCTTTTCATGAGTCCAGCCTATTTTCCTTTTTTGGCTGAATGTGCGAGAACTGAGGGCTTTTTCAGATGATCTCCTTTGCCGGTTGCAGTCTGCAGCAGGAGAGGATGTACAAGACGCACCGGGGCCACGAGTCCATGCACGTGGAGATGATCTTGATCTTCCTCTGTGCCCTGGTCATCGCCCAGGTCGTGCTGGTGCAGTGGAGACAGAGGCATGGCCGGTCCTACAATGTGAGTCACCCCCGCCCCTGCCCAGGGGCCGCAGGAAGCCCACTCCTCTTCACCTGGCATACCTCCTTTGTTACCACGTTGAAGGAACTGGTTTGGTTTAAGTCAGTGGTCTCAACCCAGTGCAGGGGACAATCGGCAGCATCTGGAAACATTTGTAATTGCCACGCCTTGGCAGGAGGGGAGGTGGGGGTTGGGAGTTGCCACTGGAATGTGGTGGGTAGAGGCCAGGGATGCCACTAAACATGCCCAGGACAGCTCCTCATGACAAAAACGTCAGTAGTGCCAAGGCTGAGGAATCCTGGTTTAAGTAAACCAACTTTCCTTTTGTGTATGAACTTCTTCTGCCACTGGCCCAGGGCAAAGAGGATTAGGAACAGCAGAACTGAAGGACTGAGGCTGTCTAATTTTGCTTCATTAGCAATGAACTGTCTTGGCATAGACGGTTTCCATACCCAGGGAGCGTGTTAATGCAGACATTGCGCTGACCTCAGCCACACAGATCAGGACCCTGTTGTCACCAATCCTACTTGAGCATGCCCACTGGAACCTGCCCATCTCACGGCCTCGGAGTCATACCCTGGGCTCATCGGGCCTGAGACCATGGCATTGCAACGTTTAGAGCAGTGGTTCTCACGTCTCACGGTGCTCAGAATCACCCGGAGGGGCTCATTAAATCAGATCCCCAGGTCCCATCTCTAGAGTTTCTGATTCAATGGAGACCAAGTAATTTGCACATCTAACCAGTTCCCAGACGGTACTGATGTTACTGGTCCTGGGACTGCATTTTGAGAACCAATGGTTTCGACTTGAGTATAGACTAAATACAGAAACAAACGTTGCAAAGGAAAACAATCCTCAATTAACACTCTACATGGTTCTGGGTCTTGGATTGGTCATTGTACAAGACTTGCCTGTGACATAGAATGTGTTGGCTTAGACCACTATTTTTATCCATCATTTATTTATCCTACATAGCATGGATCTAAAGGAATTCTTTTGCATTCTCTACAGGGGAATCTTGTGGGGGGTTTTTTCTGTTTGTTTTTCAAGCAAATGCATCCGTTTGCTGTCATGTCATTTCTTGTCAATTAAAACGAACGCCCTCTACATTATACTTGGACAAATGCTCTTTAATGAAAGATAGTGGAATCAAACCTCATTAGGTATTCTCTCTCGTATCAAAGAACAGCCCCTTAAATATATGGTTTCTTTATCTTCAAAATGGAAATACCTAACATAGAAGTCCTAGAGTCCTTAAGAAGAAACTTGGATTCTTCAGGAAAGGGTTCAGAGCCCTAGTCCTTCCTTCCTTTATAATTATTAATTATTGCTTCTGGATTAGATTTTTTAAGTTCAGTTTCCTTGATGACACAGGTGCAGATTTTGCATAGAAGGAAAAGTTCCCTTGAAAGGAAACACCACGTGAGCCAACTGACTTGCAATGTGTCTCACCATTCCTCCACCATTGTTATTTGATGATGCTTTGAGGTGCTTTATGTCAAAAAGAATCTGTCCCTGTCTTGTATTTGAAGAAGTTGCTCCCATGTCACTCTTTGAAAATGTCACTACACCTGTCAATGAGTTAACACTGGCTCTACCTAGACACGGGTACACCTACCCACGGGTCAGCAGCCCCTGGAAGGACTTCTTGCCATTGGAGGGTCTGATTCTTGATGGCTCAGACTACAACTGTTGGTTAGCTGGAGTGGTCTGCCCGTCGTTTCCCGTTGCTCACTGCACAAGTTGCACTGCCCAGAGTGCTCCAGGCGCGTTGCTTTTGACTGTGCTCCACGCCCACCATCTAGGTTTCCTGTCTCCCTACTTCTCACTGTGTCCTACTGTCACACAGCTGCGTTATTTTATGGTTACCCAGAGGGGCTCTGTGGGCCTAAGGATACCCTGGAGGTGACCAGGTGACTGTGATCGTGGCCTCTCTTAGGGTGACCCAGACTGGCACTTTGACAAAGCTAGGAGCCTGAAGACGCCCGCAGTGGTCAAGGATAGATTTGGGTCTCATGGCTCCCCACTGGAACTCTTCTGGGTTAGTTCATAGACACAGTTTGGCCTCTAGGATTTTTTCTACTTCTTTGTCCCATCAGTCCATCTATGACTGCATTGTCCCAAAGGAACAGGTGAAGCAGCCCCTTTCCCCTGCGTGGCTCTGATGACAGTCTTTGGCTCAAGGTGAGGTCCAGCATGTGCGTGATCCCACATGCTGCCTTGACTTTGCTCCATGCTCTGCAGCTCTGCCTGGGGGTTCACTGCCAGAGCCATCACCAGAACATAGCCATTTCAGGAACTCGTGTTGACGTACGCAACCACTGCAGCTGGAAATGGTTCCCAGAACAACAGTAGTTGATTCCAGAACTGGTTTCCAGTTTTTTTTTTTTTTACTGTGCTCGGCATGAACTGTATCCAAAATCTTGGACCTAGCACACTACTCAGTTTAAT